AACAAAGCAAATTCGAAATAAACTTTTTAGTAAAAGTAAGTTAATTTTGTCTAACAAAAACCCTTTTGCTAGCAAAATGATAAATAAAAAGGAAAAACAAATGCTGAAATCAACAACAACTTCAAGTTAATTAAATGGCAAATAAGCAAATAGCATTTCTGAAAGTGCCAAAACTTTTGTTGTCATTTACTTTCGATTACTTAAAAAATTAATATCAGATTACTTAAAAACTTAATTTATAAAATGAAAAAGATTAATATACGTTGTTATCAAATGGAATTTTATTTGATCAAAGCAATATTATCTCTGAGTCGTTTTGGCTTTATAACTGATAGCAGAAGAGTTGAAGTAATTTAATTAAAACTTTAATAAGTGACTTTGTATTTGCGCTAATTTAAAAAGTTTGATCTAGAAGTAGACCAAACTTAATTCTTTTTTATTCATTTTAAAATTGTTAACTTAAATCAAACTTGTAATGAGGTCATTAACTACTCACAGAAACTTGCTTACTCTTCCGCTTCATTACCAGAAAGATCAAAATAAAATTATGTTTCTATGGAAACTTTTTGATTATATTTTAAATATTTTCCAAAAATATAAGTAATTATGCCAAGCTTTTCAAATAATTTCATAAATTCAATTCAGTTTATCATATAATTTTTTAGCTTGAAAATTAAAAGGAAAAAAATTGAATATTTGATTTTTTAAAATCTTTTTAGACTTTTTGCAATAAATGCGAGCAGTAAACATTTTTATCTATCAAAAAAAGATGCAAATTATCGAATTAAATTTTTTAGCAATGTTTCCCTCCAAGTCAGTCCTGAAATTAATTTTTAATTCAAGTTTTTAGCTAATCATTTGATAATATTCTCAAACATTTTCGAATCAAAATAAACTTTAAGCTGCTTAAATGTTTTATATTTGAATTTAACTTTTCAACAGTTGCTTTCTTATAATCGAAAAATGATAGAAACTCATCACGTTAATTTACTCAAATTTTTTTTCAACCATTTATCATATAAATATTATTTTTGCAAATATTTATTATTTTTTGCATGCAATATTTCAAGATTTAGACAAGTACTGCAATGACTAGCCAATTATTAAAATAAACTTTAGACGTTTTTTGCTATTATAAAAAGTAAAATCGAAAAAATTTGTACTTCGCAACAAAATACTAATTTAATTTGATTTATGTGAAAAAATTATAGCTTTAATTGATCGAAAAAAATTTTTTCAGTCAAAAAATAAGACTTTTGCAAAAGTTAAGTTGTATTTTTGTCACAAACTTTTTAATTATAATTAATTTTGTGCTTAAGTCAAAAGTAAAATTTATTTTATTAGACATACTTTTCTTCTTATTCTTCAGTGAGTTAGTACTTACTTATTTGTTTATAATCATGTATCTTTCTTGCAATTATTTTATGTCAATTATCCATCTTTTCTTCATTCTTAGCTCAAAAATTTGCATATACTTTTATTTACTTTCTTCAATTTACTTTGTTTTATTTCAATACACGCTTTTCTATCCACTTTACTCTGCTCTGTATTATATATAAACTTTAAATTACTCTTTTATGACTTACTTTAGGTAGGTTAAAACTTTTGATCTCAGTTTTGATCATTCTTAATTTTCATCTAGCGTATTCATTTTGTTCAATTTAAATATTCATCAAAAATACTCACTGCAATTTATTTTGTTATAACTTCACCTTTATTCTTTTTGCTTTCACTCAAAGTCATTTTCAATAAAGAATTTTTATGACTTTTTTTTGAAAATTATTATTGACATCGTTTTTTATTCATATCTCTTCAATAAGCTATATCAGTTATAATCATTGGTAAAAATGCATTTGAAAAATTTAAATTAAAGTCATTTTTATTTTAACTATTTCAAAAAGTGTAATTTCATTTTGTCTTGCACCATTATGAGAAATTTTAAAATTATGCAATAAAATTTTTAAAGAAATTATTGAACATTTTCAGATGAAAATTATAATTATCGATTTTATTTTTGAATAAAATGCAATTTATGCAAATTTATAGCATTGACAAGTTTAAAATATTAAGTTTAGGTGAACAAATTTAATTAATGCTTAACTTGATCCTACACAAAATTATCACTGCCACTTAACAAGCTGAAAACCAAACTTAATTAAAAGTAAATGCGAACATACTATGTTGCGCAGTTCGTAATATCATTATCATCAAATTTCAGCTCCAATATAATAATTAACAGTTTTCACACTATATATTCTAACCAATTTGAATTATCATTATTAGTTCAGTTATCACTAATTATCAGTGTAACTGTGTGCATGATTAGTGATAACTTTATTGTTACTAGCATCATTCCTATAATTTGTTAATATTGTAAAGAATTTTGCAGAAAGCGAAGATATAAGATAATAAAACAGATATCATAATGGTTTTAATTTATAAAAATCTAAAATTTTATCAAAAAAAATCCTTTTCCAAATTTTGACAAGAATCTGACTAGCACCAAAAAATATTAAATTATCCATTTATTAAATTTTAAAAGTAATATTTTTTATTGAAATGAAAAAATTTCTTCTGTACTCATTTTTATTTACAAAAAACCTTATTTTAGCTAAATAAAAAATAAATAAATGCATTTTTGTAAATAAATAATTTGCTTTTGCAAAATTAAAATTTAATAAATATTAAATACAACACTTATTTAGCTAAAGTAAGCAAATTAATGGTGTGTTGTTGATCTTTTACTTTCATTTCTATCAATTATTTGAATTTGATCTAAAAAATATTACTGCTAGAAAAGTAAGCATTAGAAGTTTTAAAAGCAAGAAAATGAAATGAATTTAGCACAAAAAAATGTTTAAATGGAATTAAATTAGAAAAATTGATAGCAAACACAAATTTGCTTCAAAATTTGCACTATTTTTTGTATTTTGCATAAAGGAAAAGGAAGTTTCTCTATAGACCAATTAGTGTAGTTTGAAAATTCGAACCAAATTTGAATTATTCGTCAATGATAAAAATCAGTGTGTTAGTTATACACTCATTTTTAGCTTTTTGCTACTATCAAAAAATTATTGCAAGTAAAATTTTTACTTACTTTTTATTGCTGAGTAAATTGTTACCTCAGTTGCTCAAATAGTACTTGATTAAATTATTCGAAATTGCAATTACTTTAAGATACTGATAAATCAATCAATGATCTATCATTGATACTTTAGAACTTACTGATCTTAATTTGATTCATTCAAATTTGAACTGTATTTTATATTCATTTAAGTAATACTAAATCAAAATTATACCAAAATAGTTAGTTATTTTATTCCCTTGTCATCATTAATATTTTTTATTAATTTTTAAAAATTATGAATAAGCAAGCTTAAATTTGCTAGCGTTACTTACTTTCATCGTTAAAGCATTTTATAAAATAGTACCGATTAATTTAATTACATCAATTATTCATAATTCATAAGAAGGGACTTTATCGTATAGCAATTTATATATATATATATAATCATTATTTAGTATAAGAAATTTTATTTTAATTTTACTCACTTTCGTTTATCAACAAATGATCAAAATTTTTGAAGCAATTCGAGTATTAAAATTTAAGTATTTGCTTGAATTTGTTTAAAAAACAGAAAGTAATAAAATGCTCTACTGGTAATAAAATATGAAATGTGATTTTGCTCTATACTTGTATATCACGCGATGTAAGTAAAAACAACTAATATATTTGTTAATTTCTTCTTCTCATTCCTATTACATTACTTGTTTTCTACTGCAACATAAACTTATCCTTATTGAAGTGTGTTGTAAACAAATTTAAATATATATTTCAATAATTTAACGATAATTTGTGCAAAAAACAATGCAAATTTGTTGAATGGACAAATATATAACTTTACACATTTGTACTACGTGTGAATTAATCATCTTCACTTGCAAGCTAATTAAGATGCTAATAAATCACTTCAAGAATGAACTGATTCTAAGACTGATCACTTTGCAAACAAGTAAATTCATTTCTGAAATATTGGTTTCGTTCAGAGAATTTTTAGTTTAATAGAAATTTTACGAATGTACTGTAGTAATATAAATTATAAAATGTGCTATGACTGAAATTTTATTAGCATTTCTCATAAATAATAATTAACAAACCATAAATTCTAATTTTAATTTCAGTATATTTAATGATTATTTCTAGTATACTCATAAAATTACTACGTAAATTTTTTAGAATTGTTTTCAATTATTACATTTTTGAAATGCAAAATGCACTAAATTTGCTATCATTTTCAAATATTCAAATTTGAAAGATAATGAAAGTTCAAAGGTGACGAACTGATCTCTGTTAATGCTTTGTGACAAACACTTATAATATATTATTGAATTTGTATTAACAACATGTTAAAAATAATTTTTCTATAAAATATTGAGTTAACACTTATAAAACAACTGACACTTCCATCACGTCAAATGCTAAGACGTATGCAAGTGAAGTTTTTGCTTTGATTGCCGAGAACATTCAATTCAAGTTATTATTGCTCAGCTCAAAAAGTTCTGGCTACCAAATCGTTTAGATTATCTTTCAATAATTGAACGAGAAATTATCTTTGTTTTATAACTGATAATTTTGCAACAATTTTATATTCATTTAGTAAATTCACATTATTTGAATTTGGTATTTTGCGCTGTACTGATAAATTACATAAGTGATAATGCATTATCAGATATCAATGGCTTAGAACACAACAATTTCGTGCTTTTAAATTTGGCAAATTTTGTCGATTAATTTCAAATGTGTTAACAAGTCCATTTTTGGATAATTACACTGTTTAGAGTGATGTACAAATCATCTGATGCATCTTATTACATGTTTTGCTTTCTCAAATTTATAGTCATATATAATAAGTATTTGTTGCAAGTTTCTTTTATAATGATCATTTAAAAAAATAATGATAATAATCTAATTTAAAGTTTTAAATTGAAGAAATTTTAAAATGGACAAGCAAATTTCGAACTTGAGTGATGAAGATAAGTTTCTACTACGAGAAACCTGGGCATCCATGAATAGGAATATTCAAAAGATTGCTGTTAATATCTTTGGAATGATATTTGAGGAATGTCCTGATGCTAAATCTGTAAGAATTCTCGTTGATAATTTTTTTAGCTTAATAATTCATTGGATTGAATAAGAACGAAGCATATGTTATGCATACTGATTTCTAATTAAATAAATTATCACAAAAACAACAACCATTCCACGCAAAATATCTGCAAAGTATGCAAAATAAAAAAGCATTATTAGTATATTATGTTTGACTTGAAATTGAATACATAATAATTAAATTCATTTTGATCATTTTATTTACACATCGATTGATGAATAAATTCATAAAAATCATTGATAAATGCGTGAATTAAAATAAAAACAAAATGAATTTAATAATTATATTTTATAAAATTAAAGTCTAAAATATTTTTTATATAACATTTTGAAAAAAAAATCTAAAGTTTTATTACTAATCCTTGCAGCTATTTCCATTTACGGATATTTCGAAAAAAAATAGCGACTTCATCAAATTCCACTCACTACGTTTTATGCAGGTAAAAACAACTTCAAATTTTGAATTTCAGCAAAGTATGCTATTTAGGATAATTTTAATTACAAGCGCGAAATTCTCGTAAATTCAAATTGATATTATAGCGAAATTAAAACTTTCAAAGGCTACATTCTTTTCAAAATAAAAAATCCATTTTATTGGAATAAAAATTTTTAAACTTTTACAGAATTTAATTCACAACCTTCAGTTTATTTTCAAAGCTATCAGATAGATTGATACTAACTATTTGTTATAAAAAGCCATTTTTTTTTTCAAATTTGATCGTGTAAACTACGCAATTACTTGTCAACAGAAGCGTATTTTCACTTGAGTAGAAAACGATACGCATAATTACACGTTTTAAATGTCTGAATGATAAAAGGCAATAACAATTTACAAAGTTTAAATCAATTTTATAACTATGCAAGAAAGTAAAACTGTCTCTGATTAGATTAAATAATTTAAACAATTTTCAATTTAATAATTTCAAACGTATTAAGTAAGTAATAAAAAAATTTTTATCTTTTTTCACAAATCTTTTAATTGATTTAGATGTAATTTTTACAAAACGCCAAGATTAAATATTGTAATTTACTTCAAAAATTATTCAACAATTATACAATCATTTTGAAATGCTAATTTCATTTTCAGGCAATTGAGAGTGTTCTTCTTGCTGTGAATGACATTGATACAATCGGTCCATTACTTACGAATCTCGGCCACGTACACGGAAAGCTAGAAGTAATCATAAAGATTTTAAATATAGCTATAAAACAAGCAAATGCGATCTATTTTAGATTTTATGAATGCTTTAAAAATGAAATTCACAAATGCAAAAACTTTGGCATTTATTTGCTCCAAAAGCAAAAAGTTGTGTAAATATTCAAAAATTATATAATAATTAAGGTCTGTAACCATAATTTAAGCAATTGGCGTTTACAACTGAAAAAAGTTTTCATCGTCACTGAATAATTTTTGACGTCCTTAACAATATAATAATTAAAATGGTGTACTTCCCTTCAGAAATAATAATACGTGAAAAATCAATTTAACAATTTTGCTTCTTACTTTAGCTGATTGCTTACTTAAAAATGGATAGGATTAGTATTTGTTAGAGAAATTTGTCCTAGTTGAAATGAAGATGAAAAAAAAGCTGTGATAAAAACTTACAGTATATTAATGACTGCGAGGACTGCCATTATTGGTCACATTTGACACTCTCAAAGTTTACAACCACAATATGACGTTAAGAGACGTTAAGTTTTCTTAAAGTACGGTCAGAATTTAACTTTAAATTCATCCTTAAAATAGCTCCATTTTCAGTAATTCAATGCTGCTAATGAAAAGACTTCACATCCCGAGACACTAAAAATTGTACAACTCTATTCTAAAGTACTGAGATAGTACGTATATAAAGCGTAATTTCAGGACTACTCATACCATAAAAAAGATATATAAAAAGACTTGAACATTACTTTCAGCTGTTAATTAATGCAATTTTTAGGCTTACGTTGCTTTATTTAAACTTGCAAATTGATCATAAGCAAAAATGAAAAAACAACGAATTAAAAATTGATGAAAATAGCTTTCATAAAGTTACTGCAGTTTTATGATCAAGTTTTATGCTTTATGGTCAGTGCAGCTTTTAAAGAGTTATTACAGTTTTATGATCGAATAGCCTTTATGATTTCAACTTTAATATCACTTCAAACCACAGAATTCTAAAATCTGCTATCCAAACTTTAAATTATAAATATATATATATCTTATATTAAAAAAATCAAAGTACAAATCATCCTTTGAATCAAATTTAGTACGAAAAAGTTTGAGTGAAAAGTTGCGCAGCGCAAAAAATTGAATATAAGCTCTGAATCAAATTGCTATGAATAAAAAATATTGAAAGCATTTAATTACATGTAAGGAATAATAAGAAAACTTTATTTGTAGTTAGTGAAAAATTGAACAAATTTTATTTTTAGAAGCTTTTAATTAAATCAATCGCTTCTATCATAATTACGATTTACACACAATTTTTTCTATATTTTCATCTAAAGATCATATTCGATGGATTATTACGTTTGTAAGAGTGACCAATTGATGAATAATTATTGTAATTGATTTCGTGCAAGATTTCTGATCAAGTAATTATCTTTGCGTGAGATATTTTGGATTATGATCATATAATCGAAGTAACAGAGCAGACAACTAAGAAATTGCTTATTAAAATTAGATAAGCATAATATCACATCAACGAAAAATAGTTATTTAATCATTGCATTATTACAGTAATTAAGTATTATACAAGTTTTTACACGATAAACCTAAAAATTACTTAGTTACTGTAATCAATAAAGCAATTTCCTTATATGTGATTCTTTATCTTATAGTGACATCTTCAATATGAGTAATTAATATACACTTCGGTGTTGCTCATTTATAATTTAAATTTAAATTTTAAGTTTAATTTCATTAAAACAAACAGTCTATGCAGCAATTTTGTATTAAAGAAATTATTATTAATAGAATGATTCTTTCTTTGAAACTTTTTTGCAGTAATGTCACTTCAGTAAAAGCGTTTATAAATCAACGTATGGAAGCGTCTAAAGCACTGCTTAATTTTTTGGATTATTTTTTAAAAAAAAGTCAGAATCATTTTCAATTCAAAATTATTGGCAGGAAAGAGTTAATTTCAAAACCGAATATTGGAATGTTTTCCGTGATTGTACGCTATTTCATTTCAAACGAGCACTAACTAAGAACCACGCAATTACTAAGTAAGTTAATTTGAAGATCATATTAATAAAAGTATTTGAAATAAACTTAATTAGCTTATTTGAAATATTTCATTAGTATTGTACTTATCACAATTTGCCAAATGAGTTAAATTTAAGACTTCTGAGTAATACTTTTATTTACTAGCTTAAATTAATGAGTTCAAATAAGTTTATCCAAATTAAACTTATTTGAACTCATTAATTTTTCTTCAACTTCACTAAAAGTCTTATTATTATTCTTTCTACAAATATTATACACAAAACTGAATTGAATACTTCTGCTATTCAGGGATGAATTTTAGGGTAAAAGTTGAACATAAAGTAGTCTTAAGATCAATTTACAATTAATTAAGTAAACTGATTAAAAAAAAGGTAAATTCTGGGTATTAATTATTATTGATAACAACTGTTCTTTCAGAATTCAACAAACGCTTTCCAAAAGGATTCAGTCGAAAATTGATATGAATTATGTTATTATGTTATGGCAGATACTCTTAGACTTTATGATTGCTGAAATGACCCGATCTTTTAATGAAGAAGTTCAAGCCAGGTGGGGTCAAGCATTCATTTCGAAAATTATTATTCAAATCGATTTTAAAAGTTGATTTGAATAATAAATAATTTGAGCAAATTATTAGAAAGTTAAATTTTGCAAACACAAATTTATGTGTCAAATAATATTTATCGTATTCGATTGATGTTAACAGCTTATTTTTTGCTTGGAAGATAAAACTGCTTAAATCTTTTTGCTAACTTCCGACCAATTCATTAAATAAAGAGTATAAATATTAACGTTTTTTTCAGTTTTAAATACAAGCATATAAAGGTCAGTCTGAGGTCATTTTAGAAAAATGAGAATGGGAAAGAGACATCTGAAGGATGAACGCGATGAAATGTTGAAGAAAAAACGAGCCGAAATGTAATCAGTAACAGATTCATAGCATAAATTACAATAAGTAGTCAGGATTTAATCAAGTTGGAATGAATGCATTATATGCAGCATGTGAAGTAGAAATCTGCATAGTTTGTATCAGATTTTAATTTCGTCTACATAAGCGTATTTTTACGTGAACGTAGACACTTCCTTCACTTTTACCTTTTTTTTCCACAATGCTATGCAGAGTTGTTGAATATACAAAAATTATCGCTCAAGTCTAGCAAATACTTTTTTGCAATGTTTTTGGATAATGTATAAAGTAAAAAAATATTAAGA